ATCAATTCAATTCAATGTATATTTGTGTCCAGAATATATGGACAGCAATGTGAAAAGAAGAATACAGAATAGAAAAATTAATAAATTTGCCATACATTCAGAAAAAGAGTAGAAAAGAAAAAGAAAAAGAAATTGCGTTGTTTCGTTCCAAGCTTGGGGCACTAAAATCTGAGCAGATCATGTGATAGCTTGTCTAACATACAGAACATAAGCAAAGGTTCTCCATTCGAATTCCAGCAGTTATTGTACAGTTTGAAATCTTAAGCCTGACTATTTCTCGTGTAAGGAGACGAAAAAGGTTGTAAACCGTCACTGCTCAGCCAATAGGAGACGTGTATTATCGAGCATTTCCGGGAAAATCACTACGCGGTATGTCAACAAACACGGCGTGCGAGGCTTGTTGTGGATCACTACCGTCGTTGTCTGAGGCAGAAATTGACGTTTTGCCGCTTTTGAAATGCATTGTGTACATAGAACCAGCCACAACAAACCTCTGTGAGAAACTGACGGAAGCTATGGTGGGACACCTGCCGACGATGCGCCCGGGATTGGGACGAGACAAGCGTAGGGAGTCAGGAGTCCGAAATAGTTGGTGTGTGCCTCCCACAATCCACAATCTCTCCCATGACTCGCAGAAAAGGAAATCCACACACGTGTTGCCCCTCATCTGTTTGATTTGCAAATGACTCGTCAGGGCAAGAGGGTGCAAGACAAACTCATCCAGGCAGAAACTGAAAGTGCAGGTAAGACTATGATGTTGATGTTTTCAAAACATATTACACTAAGTTTCAATTCATTCTTTTTGGTATTCTTGTGATATACAAGGTTGGGAGGGGCCTACCTACAACCCAACTACATAAATAACAGCACAGCTAAGTCCAAGATTGATAGACCTACTAGCTACTCTAATTACAACTAACTATGACTAGTTTAACCCTGTTTAAGTTTAACACAGGTCAAAAGATATTTCAAAAGTTATGTGATAGAAAAGGATGAGAGAACATGACATCATGATGTAATTGTGTGTGTGGGTGTGGGTGTGGGTGTGTGTGTGTGTGTGTGTGTGGAATGTTCAATGTCCTGTGTTGTAATAATTTGTGAAAATGAAATGTCTGTAAGTGGGATGTTTGGGCGGGTGGTTGTATATATGCGGAAGCTTCTATCATGTCAAGGCAAGTTTATGTATAGCACAATTCATACACAAGGCAACTCAAAGCGCTGGACAAAATAAGAAAGCATTAAAATCATAATCACAGTACATTAAAAAGAAAGATGCAATAAATCAATATTTATATATAAAATATCATCCTCTTTCAAACCAAGCAGACTTTGTATTTATGTTTTCCTGTCTGTATACACCTGCAGGCTTGAAATAAATTAAATGAAAATTACATATTCTTTTATGAAAGTCTGCTTCAATGTCGGCTCTTCCTATCACTGTGAAGCAGAACTCAGCGTTGGATTGTTCACCCACTAACAGGGAACGTGAGCTGGGTTTAGACCGTCGTGAGACAGGTTAGTTTTACTGATGATGTGCAATAGTAACTCTGCGACCACTGAAACATTGCATTGCTGACAGGTCATTTATTTAGGCAGAGAAATTATCTATACTATTATTGCACAGCTGTGATGACTGCATGCTAGCATCATTATATTATTAGCAGACATACTTATACACTGTAGATCCATGTGGTGTCTTCATTGACTTAGTCCTCTGTTTAGTTGCGACTTATGATGGGATGAAATAATTCTTAACATTTTAACTTATCATTTCCAGATCTGCTCTGTGAAGCAGCTGAGGCCAAAAGTGATGAGCACATTTTCCATCACCTCCGGGACAAAGATTGTGTAGCCATGGAGGTGAAATATCAGTCTGTTATCGGGAGTACACAGGATTCCTCAGCAAGGAGGAGAAATATACGGAAAGGTAAATAAGTTCAAATCAAAATGTGATATGAATAGGCTCAAATTATTGAAAGGAATTCACAGCCATCTAATGAAGTACAATCATCCAAACGGAGCGTTTGAGGACATCAGATTTGTAGCATACAAATATTGTCTACATTCCCACTTACCAGTGCTCATTTTGAAATCATGATCATTGTGTATCAAAAAAGTCTGGATATTGTTGGCATCAAGGGTGAATGCAACAACGAATTAAATCCTGGATGGCAGAAAACTTTCTCCAGCTCAACCAGGACAAAACTGAGGTTTTAGTCATCGGTCCTGAGGCCCAGAGAGAGAAACTTTTACCAAAACTCTAATCACACTCTTTTAATCCATCATCACAAGTGAGAAACCAGGGCGTAATCTTTGACTCTGAGCTGACTTTTATTCCTCACATCAAGAGTATCACAAAAATAGGTTTTTATCATTTAAAGAACATCGCCAGAGTCTGCCCCATTCTCTCTCGGGCCAACACGGAGACGCTGATGCTTTTATCACCAGTCGCATTGACTACTGTAATGCCCTGCTCTCTGGTCCAACCAAACTGTAAAGCACTTTGTGTTGCATCTTTTGTATGAAAAGTGCTTTATAAATAAAATTCGATTGATTGAATGGTGTAAAGACAAATCTTATTGTTGCTAATGAACACACAATATGTATCTTTTAATGTCATTACAGGCCTAAGTCGATCAAGCAGCTATACATTCTGTGAAGAGGTTGTCCGTGGAGTTGGGCACTGCTCCTGTCTCAGAACCAAGCTACGCTGTACAGACCTCTGCAAATGTGTGACCTGTGATAACAAAAAGGAAAACGAAGAAGAGATACTCAGGTTGCGTCAGATAAAGGTGATGAAGGTGATAGTGATTTTGAAGAGTAGTTCTAGATTTATTTATGTTGATTTCATACAGCCAGCTGCGTATTCTCCCTACAGTCTTAAAGGATCAATTCAGTAAGTTGAACATGTGGCTTCATTAGATAAAACATTAATGTATTGTTCTTCATATTTTGGTATTTACATGCTGCAAATATTTGATGTAATTCTTTTTTTCCATTTAACGTAATCTGATCTTTATCATATTCGATTTTGCACACTTTTACTTGAAACTTGTAAATAAAGGATTGATATGGTATGAGGATCATTTCTTTTAGTAAGTTAGTAAGTTTTTATTTATATACCGCCTTTTCACTGCAGATCTGAGTCTCAAAGCGGTTTACAATTGTTAATTTTTGGGCACTTGTCTCTCACTCCACACAGAGATGGGAGCGGGGTCGCCAGTACAGGAGGCGCATGCTAGAACTATTGGACATATTTTTAGTGGTAGGGGAAACCGGAGTACCCGGAGGAAACCTACGCAGACACGGGGAGAACATGCAAACTCCACTCAGAACAGAACATGCAAACTCCACTTTTTTGTAAATACATTTGTTTATTGAAGATTTGTCAGAAATTTTTATAGTTAACGTGTTTGCTCTTTTTATCCCCCAGAACCCCTGCACAATAGAATTATATTATATATAGATATATACATATGCACACCCACACAAACATATATATACATCTATCTATATACATACATATAAGATAGTGGGATAAGCAAACTTTCAATCATTCAGAAAAACAAAAAAGGACACCAAATATATAAATCATCTGTACTCCCGATAACAGACTGATATTTCACCTCCATGGCTACACAATCTTTGTCCCGGAGGTGATGGAAAATGTGCTCATCACTTTTGGCCTCAGCTGCTTCACAGAGCAGATCTGGAAATGACAAGTTAAAATGTTAAGAATTATTTAATCCCATCATAAGTCGCAACTAAACAGAGGACTAAGTCAATGAAGACACCACATGGATCTACAGTGTATAAGTATGTCTGCTAATAATATAATGATGCTAGCATGCAGTCATCACAGCTGTGCAATTGTAGTATGGATATTTACTCTGCCTAAATAAATGACCTGTCATCAGTGCCATGTTTCAGTGGTTTGGATTCATATAAGGCCTACTTGTACTGAATATGTAATCACAGTTAGTTGTAATTCTAGTAGATCTATAGGTATATCAATATTGGACTTAGCGCAACTGTTATTTATGTAGCTCCTCCCAACCTTACAAGAAGAACGGCAAACAGAATCAATAAAAACTTACTGTCATATGTTTTTAAAACATCTACCTACGCTCGTCCCAATCCCGGGCGCATCGTCGGCAGGTGTCCCACCATAGCTTCCGTCAGTTTCTCACAGAGGTTTGTTGTGGCTTGTTCTATGTACACAATGCATTTCAAAAGCGGCAAAACATCCATTTCTGCCTCAGACAACGACGGTAGTGATCCACAACAAGCCTCGCACGCCGTGTTTGTTGACATACCGCGTAGTGATTTTCCCAGAAATGCTCGATAATACGCGTCTCCTATTGGCTGAGCAGTGACGGTTCACAACCTTTTTCGTCTTCTACACGAGAAATAGTCCGGCGTAAGATTTCAAACTGTACAATAACTGCAAAAAATTGCACGGAGAACTTTTAGAGTGTCATCAGATACACTATAGTAAAGCTAAAACCAGTCTCGAAAAGTCATGCCCAAGTTATGGAACGGAAATTGATTTCTAGCCACATATTTGGACTCAGCTGACGGCCTAAAAAGAGCACTCGTAGCCATAGCAACATACTGTTAACTTGCCACCATTTAGCATTTAGCCTTTTGACAAATTGTTTTTATCCCCTGTTTTTCAAGATATGGTAAGAAGTTTTAGTAGCAGTTATCATGGAGGACTTGACAAAGCTGTCGAATCACCAACAGTTCAAACAAGGGGAATGCAATGATGACAAACACATAGAGCCATTGGTCCATAAGGGATCGAGACCAATGTCCATAAATGTCCACTCCACACTTCCCCTACAGTTAAAAATGTCCATATTTTACAATAAAACACATTATTATGGACTTTTTACCTCCCTGACTTTTTACCCCTCTTCGGTACAAACTCGTCCTTTCCCATAAACTTCCTTCTAAGTCACACAAATGCCTTCAAACTCCTGAGTCCGCGTTCATACCTGGTGTTTTGTGAAGGCGAGGGGTCCTGCAGGTCTCCAGGGTCAAAGAGCTGAGATCCAGAGAGTCCTAAGTCCTGGCAGCCGCGCAGGAACGCAGTCAGATTGTCCTATGAACATAAACATATGCACACTTCAGAACCGAGGCAACAGTGGCTGTGGATAAAATTAGATCCATTCACTAGATTCTGGATTAGAGATAAGATTAGAGTTAAGAACAGAGCTATAGCTTTGATCTCGTTAATGCAGTTTAAGGCAATTACTGCTGTTAACTAAGAATACATGTCTTTGAACACTCGCTAATTACTATTTGCACAATAAAGGTTTAGATTGGAGAATGTCTAATTGTTCACGTGGTGTGATGTACGTAATCTGTAATATGCTTAATTTGAGCCGGAACACGCTGGAACATGCACCTCCGAAGTTGGATCTGGCACCTCTGCATGTGTACAACAACTGGTGGAGGGCCTGACTGGTTCAATGTTTTTTCAAACTAAAATGAATGAAATTAAAATGATATGCATATAAACTGTTGAACGCAGACCAAAACAAACATACGTCCTGAACAATATTTTCTTACGGCCGATTCTAATATCATCAAATATTATCACAGGGGCCAAGATAATTCATTCACGGGCCAGATCTGGCTCCCGGGCCTTGACTTTGACACCAAAGATTTAGAAATGTCTTAGCTAGGTTAAATAGTCTGGTATAACCTTCCTGACCATGGTTGGTAAAAATACGTAAAAAGAATGGCCTATCATTTATTTGGTCTAATGAGTTTGATCAAAATGTCACACAATATTACATGTGAAAGTTAATTTAAATACTGTTGGATAATTAAATGAATGAATTATTGTCCATCAGCACAAAACACAGCTGAATGAAAACAACACAACACAGTTTGAGGTAGAAAAACAACACACAACAAGTGCAGCCCAAAAAAATTCAACAAAACTACAGTCAACACAATCTGCTACAAACCTTTTTGTTGTCGCAGATTGCAAGATTAAAAGATGGGATTGTTCTTTCCCGGTCAGGATTAAGCTTAACACACACTTAACACACACTTAACCCGACGCTGCAATGACACACAATAGAAAAGTCCACAGAAAATCAAGTCCGAACAATGGCCTCAGTGTCAGAGCACATTTGAAGTCATAAAAGGCAGAGGATTCCATTTACGAGGAGCATCATGGAGGAAAGCTGCGTCTCCTATTTTCAGTTTCCGGCTCCATCAGCTCCAATCAGAATGTCACTCTATGTTTTATACATCTTTCACAGAGACACGTAGAGCCACAGACGGACAGAGCAGCAGACAAATAGAGCCACAGACACGCAGAGCCACAGACACATAGAGCCACAGACACATAGAGCAACAGACACATAGAGCAACAGACACATAGAGCCACAGACACATAGAGCCACAGACACATAGAGCCACAGACACGCAGAGCCACAGACACATAGAGCCATAGACACGCAGAGCCATAGACACGCAGAGCCATAGACACATAGAGCCACAGACACATAGAGCCACAGACACGCAGAGCCACAGACACATAGAGCCATAGACACGCAGAGCCATAGACACATAGAGCCACAGACACATAGAGCCACAGACACGCAGAGCCATAGACACATAGAGCAACAGACACATAGAGCCACAGACACATAGAGCCACAGACACATAGAGCCACAGACACGCAGAGCCATAGACACGCAGAGCCATAGACACATATAGCAACAGACACATAGAACCACAGACACATAGAGCCACAGACACATAGAGCCACAGACACATAGAGCAACAGACACATAGAGCCACAGACACATAGAGCCACAGACACATAGAGCCACAGACACATAGAGCAACAGACACATAGAACCACGGACACAACAAACAAAATTGTAATTTTCCTTCAATTTTTTACCTCATCGTGATTTCTTTAAAAAAAATGTTTGTACCATAGACTGTAAATTTTAACGGATGTAGTCACGCCCGTCTCCTCATTGAAACTATTGTGCCACCACTTTTGCTGTCTATGGGCAGTTTAAAAAAACTGGAGCTGGAAAATGTGAAAAAATGCATCTGTGCAAGCGTTAGACGGCACCATTCATTTAACGAGTGACTTCAAAATTTCACAGCGACTAAAATTCACTCCCCTCAGCGTTGACACGTGTGGAACTTAGCGTTGGGCCAAGAGCCAACTTTTGGACCCTCCTGTAAAGACGTTTTTGAGAGGTATGAAGACGCATTGGCTAATTCTTATTCCGGGTCCACCCCCACTGGCCCGGGGTGGTATTGCAAGCAAGTCAGTGCACATCATTTTGGACATTTTTGAGCCGGGACCCGCCCCCACTGGTTTGGACGTTGCTGGAGTTAGCTCAGCTTTAGTGTAAAATTTGGAACAGTCTTCCTTATAATGTGAGACAGGCTTCTTCTCTGACATTGTTTTAAATCCAGGTTAAAAACAGCAACAATTGAGGGATTTTATCTTTATAACTCTTTTTGATGTACTGTGATTATTTACGCCTTCAATATGAACTGCGCGATACAAATAAACTTGCCTTGGTTCAATTATTCTACTCAGAGTATTTTTATAAAAAGAAATAAAATACATATATTTAAATATTATTGCATTGAAGTGTTATAGAAATATTTTAGTAAAGCAATCTGAATTAACACCTAATAGTTATGAGTGTAAGTTATTAACTAACAGTGAACTCTGGATTCAGATACAGGCCATAATGCTCTGTTGGCTCAGGTCAGTGATAGATGGAGACGTGCTGCATCATGTCTTTGACCTGGGTCATAGAACAATATGTTCAGGTCAAAAGCAGATTGTTACATATATCAGAGTTGTATCAGCGTTAGGACGCGTAAAGAGAAGCCTTGAGCAACGCGTATCAATGTTGACTTCATTTATGTAATATCTAGAGTGGATATGTGTTTGTTTACTCTGGTCTATTTAATGTACAGTTATTTCCTCAATCGGGGCAGTCGATTTCGGACGACTGCCCGGTGGTATTGGTATCGGTTCTGTTATTCATTGTATATGTGCACATTTACTAATGAATAAACTCACACTTTGTTTGGAATTACAGCTCTGAGTTGTTAACATTATTTTACTCTCGTTATGTGCAGAATTTCCACAACAGAAGTATGGAACTATTGCTGTTTTTTGTTTTGTTTGGATCAACAAGATAATGATGATGATGATGATAAAAATCAGGAATGTCATGAGAAAATTTAAATATTTTTGCTGACACTAGATAATGAGAAAGGCACCTGTAAGCTTTTTGCTTCTGCCTTCTCCTTTACTACTACTACTACTACTACAGCTACTGCTACTGCTCCAGCTGCTACTGCTACTACTATTACTACTACTTCTACTACAACTCCGCCTGGGAGCGCTTCAGTCCTGCACCGGACCTGTCCACGCTCTGCGGCTGCTGCATGGCATTGGTCCTCGTTCTGTAGCTTAGGTCCTGGAGCATTAGCCCGTCCGTCTGTGTGGAGCGGATCCCCCTCTCAATGTGTGGGTCTCCCCCGAGGTTTTTCACTTTTTTCCCACTGGGTTTTTGTGAGTTTTTCCTTGCCGATGCAGGAGGGTCTGTTGGGCAGTTAGTGTCCAACAAGAAGGACTGTGGTGATGATCCAGGACACTTTCACATTCTACAACATGTATGGACATTTATCAACATTCATGGACACTGGCCTCTCCCTATGTTCCAATGCATATGTTTATATTTGTGTCTTAACTGTTGATTCTCTGATCTGTGTTGGTGATTTCAATAGTTTTGTCTACTACTACTTCTACTACTACTACTACTACTACTACTACTATCAACACCAACTCTTTATAGAGTATTTCTCTTTCACATCATGCATTCAGATGTAAACAAAAATACCTGGTCTTTAGCTGGTGTTGGACTCCAGTTCAAAAAGCCACTATTCCTCTAAATGATAAAAATCCTCAAAACAATAACTCCGATCTGAATCCACCTGCTCCAAACATGCGTGTGTGCTGCTCTCTCTGTGTGTGTGTGTCTCTGTGTGTGTGCTGCTCACTGTGCGGAGGCTTTGTGCACTGGAACCTGAGCTGCCGCGCTGCACTGGTTCCCAGCCTCTCTCTCCCCCCCTCCGCTCCCATGCGCTCGCTCGCCCATGTTCACATGCTCCTCTGGTTCATTCTGTGGGCGTCGCCGTTTCCTCTCCGCCCTGATTGTCACGGCCGTACTATCACCGACACACAACACTGCACTAGAGTCAACACACACAGACTGGGAGGTGTTTCCCAATTTAGATAAACTTGGGAGGGTTATGTTTTCAGTGTCGTAATATCTGGACTGTAAACTGCTACTTTTTCTAGCTCTTTGATCCCTGCGGCTTTTATAGCAATGAGGCTAATATGTGTGTTTGTATTGTGGTAGAGTTGATGGACTTAGAGACCAATGTCCATAAATGTTGTTGTCCTTAGAACCTCCTGCTTCATTATTGGGAAAGAAGAACCATTTCATGCTCTTAAAATATAATCATTGACTCTTCTGACTCCTGGAAAAGCCATGTTCCAGCTTCTTCCCTCTGGCAGAAGTTATTATTGGCTGCAGGACATCTGGATATGCTAATATGCTAATAGATTCTTTTAGCGGTTATCAGTAAGAACAAAAACCTTTGATGATGTTGTATTTAAGCTGTTTTTGTTGATTACTTTGTTGATTTACTTTTTTTTTTAGCTTGTTTTATTTCTGTTCTTGTCTGGTGACACTGGGGATTCTTGCACATGTATTCCAATGTGGTTTTACTGCAAATGGTAAATAAACTGAATCTGGATCTGATGTGTTTTGTGGTATCTTTGTTGTTTGGCACCTGTCCCAAAAGAGAGTCTTCATCTTTTCGAAAACACATTTGGCACGTTTCAGGAAGAAATTTGCTGCAGAAGTTAAGATCCTTATCTGAGCTTTAGCCAAAAAGATCAGGCGCAAAGATAGAAAACCTATGTTGAAACTTAAACTTAAAATCTTCCATTTGTGGCGCCACCTGCAGGTGAAAACCTCATTCCGTCAGATCTCAGAAGGCAGAATCGTAGAGTTTGTAGTAAATTCT